CCGTTAGCCTACCCAAAGTAGTTCGGCTTTTACCCATACCCACATGAGAAACGGGTAGAAAATCCAAACCGTGCTCATACTCGTTCAGGTTTCGGGTATCCACGGTTATCCATGAGTAATAGTTTCTCTTTATAACTCCAACCAATATGTTAATATTCACATGTACGCTCACGTTACGTAAGACGAAAAGTACGACAATAATGCACTAGAATGAAGACAATTAATTAAAATACCACAATTTCATAAACATATTAATATTTATATGCAAAATATAAAATATGTTAGAGAAAAATATTGATTATTAGTACACAAAATACATATGCATGTGCATAATCGGGCGGGTTCGGGTTGGATAGTGAGAAAATCATGCCCACCCGATACCCGCAATATTCGGGTTCGGTTTGTACCCGTACCCACTAAATGTAGGGATGGCAATTTTGCCCATACCCATGGGTATTTTACTATCCAACCCAATTGGGTTGGGTATGGATTCCAAATAAATGGTAGATGGGTAGAGTTTGATGGATTTGTACCCATACCCATTTAGTTGGGTTGGGTTGGGTTTTTAACACATGGATTTGGATTTGTACCCATGCCCAAAGGAAAATTACAGTTTGGTACCTAAACTTAATAGATATGAAGATTTAGTACCTAAATTTAATTTTTTTTGCATATAAGTCCTCAAAATATCGATGGAAAATTACGTTTTGGTACCTAAAATTTTTTGGTCTTACATTTTGGTACCTAAACTTTTCAAGTTTTACAAATAGGTCCAATTTTTGTGTGTGTAGTTAAAACACCCTCAAGTAAATGGATATCCATATCCAACCCATACCCATTTACATTATGAAAGCAATATCCATACCTAACCCAAACCCATTTACAAACCCCCAAACCCATATACACTTCATCCAAACCCTACCCATACTAAATGGATCTATTTGGATTTGGGTAAAATTACCCATGGGTGGGTAATTGTCATCCCTAACTAAATGTCCTTCGGGTTCGGGTTTTACCCTACCCGATTAGGTCGGATTCGGGCGGATATCCACGGTTACATATATTTTTGCTATCCCTAAGCTAGAGGGGATATAACTAAGCTTTCGAGAGGAAACTTTATTTTCGTGGTGGTTGTCGTCTCGTTCTTTAATTACGAGATCGGGAGTTCGATCCTTACTCATGAGAGTGAGGTCATTTCATAGTCAATCAGTTACCATTTCGTGTGATGACTGGTAGCCAGAGGTCAGTCACTATTATCGACAACACATTATCCTTACTCACAAATGGACTCTCAGTGTCCATATGTAATACCATGTGTCTCATGTTAGATATGGCTCAAGTTAAATAGTTTGGCTCATAGAGATATTTAGACATATCACTCATTACAATTCGAGTATGCATTTTAAAGCGGTGAAAACACAAAAATAATCAAATCTTCATAAAATTTCAAAAATAGCAATTTGTAAAGAGAATGAAAACAATCGAATAGGATGTTTGTATCTCCCATGTTTATACTTATAGGGAACACAATGGTGTGGTTGATTTTCTTGCAAAAAAGAGTCACGATGTTTCTTTTGAGTCACATCTCATCGATGTGAGAGACCTCGGAATATTGTACTGGATTAATTATAATATCATGGGAGTCACCATGAATCGGGTTGTTAATGAAACGAATCAGACGCCTTTAGCGTCAGTTTTCTTACAAAAAAAAAAAGATAATACAATAAAGGAGGCTCGCTCAGTCTAGTACAAGACAAAATGGATAAGAATCTAACGATATAGAAACAACTCAAAATTTCTATTCAATTACCCAATCAAATGTAAAACATATCATATCATCGAATGAATCAAGCGGAAACTACCATCACTACTGCTCAGTGTTCACCCAACCAAGTAGTCTAGCAAGAGGAAAATTCTTGTCATGCATTAATTGTCACAGCATTTCTCCATGACCAAACAACTCACTTTTTATATACTAATAACAACTTGGGAATTACAAGAAAAATCACTACAAGCAAGAATTACAAGGAAAACAAAAAGGCAAATAATTTTGGGAGGGGGGAACTAACAAGTAACAAGTAGTAACAATGTGAGGAGGAGATAATTAGGTGTGCAGTAGCCCATCAGAAGATATCAAGGATCTCCAAGATCGGACGGTTGCAAACGGGACAACACCCTCTATGGGCCCACATATCCCTCGAACAAACCCTACAGAAGGTATGGCCGCAGGGGATAAACGCCGCGCCCTTATCCCTCTCCATGCACACGCAGCACAGCGAATCCCCGCCCTCCTCCTCCTTCTTCTTGTCCGTTGCCGCCAGTGCCAGTACTCCTTCCACTTCCAGAGGCTCATCCTCTCTCCTCCGCTTGGTCATCCGCCAATCAGAGCCGTCCGTTTCCTCGATCAGCCTCATCAGCGTCTTGGAATCCCCGCCGTTGGGACCCCGCAAATTCCGCTCCTCGGCCAGCGCCATCGCCAGGTTCATCCCGCTCGGTCTCGCCCCGATTAGCTGCCGGAGCGTGATGGGCATCATCGGCACGTCCTCCCGCTCGTCGCCGCCGCCGCCGCCGGTGGTTTCTTCTTCTTCTTCTCCTTCTTCCCCTCCTTGTTCTTCGGGGTCGGAGATTATGACCCCCGGGCCGGCGATGGCCCAGGCGGCGGCGGCGCCACCGCAGCAGCCGCTCAAGCCCCTGAAAGTCAACCGCCGCTTCAGATTCTTCCACCCTGCCATAAATTGGGGAAAAGGGCCGAACCTGCGTTCTTCCTAGTTGCCGGCGACGGAGGCTTGGGAAATTTGTGGTGGTTATATTAGGAGATAATGGAGATGCAAACGGAAGCAAATGTTATATTTTTGTTTCTTTGTGTGAAGGACGGGCGGCAGAGCGAGAAGAGAAGAGAAGAGAAGAGAGGGAGTGAGCGAGTGGCAAGTGGCAAATTGGAAGGAGCCAAATGGGGAATAATGAAAGAAGGGAACTTCGGTTTTATATTATTATTACTAGTGTTGGCCCCGGCCAGTTGGCCGGAGGAAGGTGATGTATGAAAATTGATAATGTAATGGGGTGTATAGCTTATTGTTGTATTGTTTTTTTTTTTTGAAACACGTGATAAAAGTAGTGAATTTTAGCAGGAAAGAGAGACGAATGATGCAACGAATCAAACAAAGTCAAGTACCTGTTACCTTGTGAAACAATATTATTTCTGATAATATGATGAGGTGGAGTAAGTTTTATAGAAACCAAATTCCAGAAAATCAAATAAAAAATCACATATCCCGCTGGTCTTCGGGAAATGAGCATCTCACAATCGTTGCTAGCTTTTACTCGGCCCGTTGGCCGATTAATTTGCTTTATAAAACTTTCAATTTGTCGTCATTGTGCTTTCTGGTTTTTGCCAGGCCATGATAAAATCTAAAGAAATCAAGAGCGAACAACACGATTTGGGATAGGAATCGTCGATCATGTATCCCTAGAAAATGGTGGTAAACACGGACTCACCTGCTGAACTGGTTTGGATTGAGATTTTTATCGGGTATCAGGGAACCATGTGATTATAAATTAGGTTTGACCATGGGTCAAAACTTGAAATTCAGCCTGTTTGACCGACCCATGGCAAACTCTAATTATTCTTTACTTTTTAAACTTTCTATTTGAAAATAAAAAATAGTTAAAGAAAAGAGATGATTGCAATTCGCCATTTGCACATCACTGATTCGGGAATATAACCATAGAAATTCGAAAGGAAACTGAAAATGTTTAGGACCTCTCATGTTTCGTCATGTTTTTCTCTCATGGCCTTCCTGATCTAAAGCATTTTTCAGTTTGAAGTTTAGGCGTAGATTTAATATAGCTATGATTCACGTAATTTTTTTATAATTTTAAGAGAATAAAAAATTATGGTAAGTTCATTTATAACCACTTTAGCCTATTTAGAAAATGTTCATAAAAAAAATTAGACATATGTTGAAGTAAATAACATTTTATTAAAATTCAATCAACAATTGTGCATTTTGATACCTTTTACCGTGGTTTATTGGTTTGAAATTTTAATTTGTTATATAATATTTTTATGGTGTAGAATAATTACATTTCTTTTGTTGGGTTTGGTTTTTACTTAAAATAATCCCCAACCCGACTCGACCCAATTAGAAACGAATTGTAGGGTTTTAATTTTTTTTGGTGGGTTTGGATTTAATATTCCAAAACCTTATTGCATGGGTCGGGTGATTAAAATGGATAAACCTGAACCACACAACTCATGTAAACCCCTAGCTCAACCCAACCGAATCCACCTAATCCACCCATTATATGTTTGGGTGGATGTGGTGGGTGGGTCATTAACCACAAAATCACAAAATATATTAAGTTATTATTGCACATTCTATAATAAAACACATTTTTATTATCCCAAAAACTTAATTGTGATTGATTTAATTAAATTACAATTATCTTTTATTAATTTTATTTAATTTATAACATAAAATCAATTATTTTAAAATATGATAACCATCAATAAAATATTTTGTGTTCATAAATGAGATAATTGGTGTTAGATTATGCAATAAACTACGTTTGATAGCTATCAATTTTTTTCAATTTGTAGCATTGATATTCAATTAGTTTTATGCAAATTTTTATGGCTCATAATTATCTAATTATTTAAAAATAATTTGACTCACCATATCTGCCAAACCACCTACCACCCGCTATCACCCACCCAATCCATCCATAACAATAAATATGAGTGGGTTTGGATCGAATTTTCATCACCCATCATAACAATGGATGAGTGAATTTTGCACTAAAATCTGCCCATCCCCATTAATCGGCCACCCCCAAACCAAAGATTTTGATTGATCGTTCTGCATGACCGCATCTTTTTTTATCGAGGAAACTGCAAAAGCCTTCATTGAAAGAAAATCAGTCACCACATGCCTCAAAGGATACAGTATCCACTACCTTTGGAGGGGCACAATCATTCCATACAATTTAAAAAAGAGTCTATATGAACATTAAAATGAGCTAGAGAGTGTGCCACTGTGTTTGCTTGTCGGTGAACAAAGGTCCAACTTCATAAATCAGCTTGCAAGCCCATCTGTTAGATACTTAGATGTCTATGCAAACATTGCAGGTTTTGTTCTGTAATCAGTACAGTAGTCCCCTGTAGCAAATCCACTATCCTCTTGCAGTTTGTCTCCACCATAAGAGGGTTCAATCCCTTTTTCATCTTGTTCAAACCAAAGAGAATAGCTCTCCCCTCCCCTACTTTCGGCGTCCAACCGTGTCAATTTGGACTGCAGCCAATACAACCCTCCCATCCAGTTCCTTATCACAAAGCCCAGGCCTTAACCACCTCTGATGTTTACCCCTGCATCAATGTTAAGTTTGAACACACCTATGGGAGGTCTCTTCCATTTGTTTTGCCTCTTATCATCACTACTTCTTGGATTCTGATCCTTCATTTGGACCTCCATGAACTCCTGAGTATACTTTTCAGCCTTAGGAAAAACGTCCCAATCCTGTAGAAACTTGTTCAACGGAAAATATTCCTTTCTTTCCATAGAAATCCCGGCAGGGCATTGAATTTCCCCATCTCTTGTTCTACAATTTCATTCAAAATCATCATCAGCCAAACCTCCGCATGGCCACATCTGATCTTGAACTAAGAGAAAAAAATTGACATATTTCCCCTATAAGGTCATGATTGGAATCAGTCAGAAATTAGGAGTATAAAAACTAAGTGGGCAATCCTAAACCAAGACCATAGCAGGTTAACCGACCATCTTGTCAATTACAATCCCTCGCTAATCATAAGCACCATCTGAACCCTCAATCGAAGATGAAACATGGGGAACTACAGCTTACTTGGAATCTCAGCTCTCGAAGCGACATCCGAAGTCATTGGCTCAGAGTGATGAACGACTCAAATGCTAATTGGGGCATTGAGACCAATTCCCTGACCCCCTGAACGAAGTGGAAATCCCCCGAGATTTGTCGTCCACGACCCCAACCTGGGATGCGACCACAACAAAGGATTCCTCAATTTATTTTCTCTATTTACCCTATGTGCATCAAAGCATTACTCATCAGAGCATTAACCAAGCCTTCCAACCGACAGTTTAGCGCCGATTAACAGCGGAGGGTGATTGAAGCGGTTAAAACGATTGGCTAGAGAGCAAGACACATCCAGAGATGGGAGGAACATAATGATTCTGGTTGAGAGGAGCATATTCTTAATATTCATTTAGTAAAAACCATAGAGAAACATACATATAGGTCCAAGCTATGCATAGAAAAAGAAATCAAGACACGTTAACAATATAAATACTTGCATTTGAAAGAGTAACTCCCAGTAAGTGTTAAGAACATAATACAATCAAAATAAAAACATAGATATAATAAAGGAAGCCCGAATGATTTTAACCGTGAATACAGCTAGATGTTGATTTACCTCAATAACTTGGCTGGCACTAAAATCTCCAATTTTAACAACTCCAGTGCTGGTAACCCATACGTTATCGGCATGCACTATATTCTGTTGGAAGATCAATGAAAAGAAATTAAACAATGTCAAGTAACGTTCATACCAGCATGCAAGATTAATGAACTATCGAGCTCTGGAGAATTAAGAAAGACTAAAGAGGATGCCCAAAGAACCAAAAATGGCATAGTTATACACAAAAACAGTGTTTTTCTGCTCCTCATACATTGTTATACTGTTGTTGACTCTTTGATGGTGCTTAGTTAATTGGGATTTCTACGACTTTCTCTTTTGATGTATGAAAGGATGAGGACATTTTTTTTTTACCCTTTTACTTACCTTTCTTTGATTGCGTACAGCCTGATCCTGCCAATTGCCTTCTCACCTGCAGACACATAATTCCAACGTTAAGAATCATATCAGAATCCTTTGATATGATTATAGCTTGTTCCCATTCCTAACTGTTGTCTTTTACTCCATAATTGAAAATGAAACCCAGGGCCTTCTAGTAGCCTAAAATAACAATAAATCATGTGACTTAAAAAGTTGTAATCTTACAATGAAATTAGTTTATGAGGTTCATAGATCAGAGACACGAAACCAACATACATACCTTAGCAAAACCAGGGTGATATACTTCAGGAGACAGGCCCTTGAGATGTACATATATGAAATCGATAAGCTGACCGACTTCATTTCTGCATAATTGTTAAGCTTTTGCCTTTTGGTTTTGACACCTGCTGATCTGCAAGCTTACATAAATCAAAACACGATGAGCGATTCAGGTTTGAATGAAGTCCCACAAAATCTATTTGGTTCTGTGAAAGTTGGGATGATCATTACCATACTTTTCTTCATCGGTAAAATCATCCAACCATTGGTACTTCCTAAGTTTGCCATCAATTGACCTAACCTATTATTAGATTCACAACATAGTCAAATTGCGCTTTCAATCTCTTTAAGAGTGGCCACAAAATAATAGGAGATGGAGTCAGGGGATATAATGAAATTTTCCCCTTCCAAATTATAGATTAAAAATTAGGAATCTCTTTAACCGTGCTACTTTCGACTATTATATATTATATAGAAGGGAGAACAAAATCACACTGTTTGACCACTGTTTCTGGAAACCTCGCTTTTACCCAAAAAATTAAGACTTCAGTTGCGACACATAGCATCCCATTTCTTCACTATCACCTCCAATGAAGAATCCCCAGTTGTATTAGTAATGCTATCTAGCCGTGAAAAAGTTCTACATATGGATACCTTGATTTCATTACCTCTATAGACAAACAAAGTAGTTGACTACTTTAGTCTTATTAATAGATTCTTAACTAAATGAATAGAAAGTTGGGAAAGAACAAATGGAGGGATAGTTCATGGAATGCAGGCATGTAGTGGGAATTTACGTTTCACAGACTCATCATCTCATATCGAAGTTGGCCTTATTATTAGATTAGAGGATAGATTACTCAATTAGCTAGGAGTCTGGTTCGAAATTCGAATGAATGCCCACAAAATGCTAGAATAACTTAAATATGTGATAGGATGTTTAGCAACCTATGGTGATAAATTTGCAGCCTAAAATTGGGTTCCATACATAACAATAGACACCAAATTGATACAAATAGTATAGAAACGAAAGGATTACTCAGGTAGAAGGATTTGGATATCCTTTCGCGGGGTCTTGTTAGTGGAGGATGTGACCAGTAGAACAACTGAAATTTGCAGAAGATGGCCTGTGAAATCTGCAATACATACATATCAGCAGCAATTCTCTAGAATATCGGAAGAAAAATTAGTACCTAAGCTAAAAGAAGCCTCACCCGGTAAATAGCGAGTGTGTCCATGGAATTTGGGAATATCAGCTGCTTTCAGAAACTTCAACTTGAACGGCGGAGCATGTGGAATTGAGTGAATAGGTTGACCAGTGGTTTCATCGTCAAACTGAAGCATTAATGGGTTAGGAACGGGTCGGAAACCGGATTTTGTGGACTTGATAGCAAAACTCATATACTTACCAGTGCTTGCACCAAGGAACAGAAAGACATGTGTATCAGGCCGGATCTTTTGCTGTGGTGATGAATGAAGGCAGCACCGAGAACATCACGGTGAATCTGGAACGACGAATCGTAATAATTAGAGGGGACTCTTCTGAAAGCAAAGTCTCAATTTACAATCAAACAACTTAATTCGTCGGTTTTCCCCCAATTGGAGGCGGAAGAATTGCGTAGCAGGACGATGGTTTTGCAGAGGTGATGAATAGAGGCAGCGCTGAGAACATGAAGATGGGACTCGAACTGCCAATCATAGTAATCGGAAAATTTATTGAACCCATGCGTCCCTGCTAATCACCGGGCGGACATTAAACAGCCAACGACGTCTCCTTCAACTGCTAATTTCCATAGTTGCAAGTTTCGAAATCAGGGCAGATAGCGCTGTCGGAGGGAATATGGTTTTAGAGGGGGGATGAGAGGGCATAGATATGAGCAAACAGACCTCTGAATCTCCGGCACGACACCAACACTGAAGAAAGAGGCAATACGAAAGGGGGGAAGGGGACTCACCGTCAACGTAGTGGAATGGCGGCCTTCCCCCTTAGGTATGAAGATCAGACTACCAAATCCATGGCGCATCGCAGCGGGAGCAAGCGCACATAAGAAATCACGACTCCCCTTGCTGTCTGGAGAGACTGAGCACATACACCAGCCAACATGCCCAGTGCAGGATGAGGAGAGAGCTTCGATTCGCTGGTTGGAGAAGGGTTCAACGCAAACAATAGGTGTCGAGTTAATTTTTTCCGTTTCCGAAACTAACCCTCCGACAAACGCTCTAAAGGCAGGGATTTTGAAATGGGGCTCCTGTTTTTCCCTTCAGCGTATTATATTATGTGTAGATATCTTTTTGTTTTATATTATCTTTTTCTTCTGTAAATTTATGGATAAATAGCCAATCCAGTCCCTTTATAATTTTTCTTGAATATACTCTTATACTTCTATGACTTAGTAACAAACGAATCTCGTCACATTGTTCTTTATTCTTGCGTAAATGAAAGACGTTGATTTGGGATCAACTTGTTCATAACAAACTCAAGGCATCTTCATTTCTTTCGGTTACTTTACAAGATCCTAGATAAGTTTTTCATAAACTTTTGGTTGAATAGTAGATGGTATGGAATTTTACGAATTCACAAGTTAATGATGACTCAACATACTCGTGAAATACAGTTTGCTGCTAAGTGTGGGAATCTGCTGAATAGTTTAGGGCAAACCCTGAAGAAAGCTAAAAAGTGGTAGAAACAGTGGTGCATTCATCCAAGAAGTTTTACCGGAAAATAAAACCGTATTAGAGGTTGTACCAGAAAATTTAGCGATAAGAAGTTTTATGCCGAATCGTGGTTCAACTATATCATATCACCATATATCGCCTACCATAGAATGTTTTTCTTATCGAACCGTCGGTACGGTACATTTTTCAATCCTTGGTACAAAGGGGCTTGTTTGTCATCTTTGCTTAATACAATGACTGGTTTTTCTTATGGAATCATCGGTTCGGTACATTTTTTCAATCCTTGGTACAAAGGGGCTTGTTTATCATCTTTTCTTAATGCAATGACTGGTTCAACTCTTACTCCTAAATTTACGAAAAGAATGTTGCATTGGATTCAATTATTTGATTAGCGTGATAATGATAACCTACTGGAAAAGGTGGAAGGTGAAAGTGAAAAATTATTCCTCACTTTGAGTGCTTTTTCTCTTTTACAAACATGAAAATAATGAAAAATGAAGGCGCGTGGGACCTTTTGTTTTGTTTTTCATTCTTTTATGGTTGAGATGGTTCAGCAGTTTGAAAGCATTAGGTAGAACATTGTACCTACAAAGCTTCCTGCTTAGTTTGCTATTTGGGATCCATTAGGTACCAGAGAATGATAACTGCGTTGTTACTTGTTATTGGATGATAACCCTCCCTATGTGTGAGAATAATACAAAATTAAAGTGAGAGAGGAGATAAATTAAAAGGAGTTACGAGAATTCGAATATAGTCTTTTTAATTATCATAGTGTAACTGGATCATGCTCATGATCACTGTCTATTGGTGGAGGTACATGTAGTTCGGAAGGAGTTACAACTTACATCTCATTTCCAACTTTTTATCTAACGATATAATATGTATATTTACATTATGAGAAAACATTAAAATGTGGACTAATTGCCCCCTCCCTCCACCAATATTTAGATTCAATCGTGGGAAGTTATTGTAGTTTGTCATTTTCTATCCCCGGCTCCAAGTCCTAATTTGCTACTGCGATAGCCTAGTTAAAAGGTTGGTGGGTTTGTAATAATATGTTATGATATAGGAACTAAATTGATTGGATAGATGATTTGATCTTGATGCTTTGCTTCCTTTTCATGATGGATGGTGATCATTTAGGTTGGAGAGAGTTGACAACTTAGGCTTTGATGGTGATCAATTATTCTTAGTGTACACCAACATCTAAACAAAACACGTATATAGGTCAAACCTCTTGTCTCACAAGGAAATTATAATTTAGAATTGCATACCTAAACTAGTTTTGGATAGGACAGAATATGAATTGGTTCCACTCTTCTTCTAATCTTTTAGAAAGTGGGTTCCATTCTAATTGGCTAAAGAATTAAGTACCTACATTGAGAGAGATGCAACTCTCTATAATCAAAGTCATGATTGTATCATCATAATGGAGGTTATATTAAAAAAAGTCAATGTTAGAGTATTGTATTCTAGAATTGTAGCTTAACTATTGTTCAATCGTGTTACAATCGTTTCATATGGTTAAATCCGCTATCAATTTAGACTCCGATAAAAATGTACACACCATACCACCAATTCGGTATGATTTTACAGTATACTAACTACTAACTAGGGGAACAACAATTGAGTGTTGACAGCAAGATGCAACACTCCCTAGGCTTCCTTTTGTGTAGACAAAGAAGTAAAAAAAAAAACATTATTGGACTTGCCAAGGAAGATCCGCAAGGCGCCAAATTCAAATGTTTTACTGCTTTCAAGTTTATATATGTGGTCGCAGAAAAAGAAGGCGCCAAATTCAAATCAAAGTCTAGCGCTGGCCTAGTGGGTGAGACATGGTTTGCAGTTTGCTGATTGTGGTTGTGGTTGTGGGGATTCTAGAAAAGAAGACAAAAGAAAGAAAGAAAGAAAGAAAGAAAGAAAGGAAGGGGACAAAAGGACAGCCCAAAATCATACTCTTCTGAAAAAGCCACAACTTCCGGCTGGATAATTGCAAATCTTCACCAAGATCAAGCAGCTCCTCCGTTTTGGAAACAACAAACACCCCAGCTATATTCCAGTCATTCACAAATCTTCCTAATCATAAACAAAACAAATGAAAATTGCAGTACTGCCAGCTGATTGCTGACACGGACGCGGAAGCATTGATCTTCTTAGATTACCTTCCACACATTACCAGCAATCGACTCGAGTAAGATGGCATTGCTTTACAAGAACAATCCGACAATAAGCATATTATACGCGAATGCAATCTAACAGCGTCACCACACGTTTGATCATCCCCATATTAGGATAATAGCCAAATGCATAGAAACTGACTCCTTTTCCTTCTCAAATGATATGAGACCGTGGTCCATGTACTACTCAATTTTCAATATTTCATTGCTGAGAAATGAACTCCCTGACTGAACTTAAACTTCCACTGCCAATTTGGTTTGTTCAGATCACTTTGTATAGGCAGTCAGTCAAGCTTCTGGGTATTCTGGGCCATGCAATGACTGATTAGGCCACCACATACAATCATGGCAGTAACATGGGCAAATAGTACATCTTCTTGGATCCGTTCCTAGGTGTCACTGCTCTATAAAGTCACACAATTTAGGCCCCACAAGATCTTAACAGTTAGGCCGTGTAAGATCACTGTTAACGAAGCTTGCTTTCATACTTTGGGATGTTCCAAGCTCCAAGCAGCTAATTCACTCATATGAATTGGAATAGAGAAAGTCAGGAATAGCAAAAAGGAAAGGAAGGGAAGAAAGCCCTATATTTAGTATATGATTACTATGTTAATCAGCATGTAAAGAGTATGGATCTTCCTTTTACCAATTCTTAGTACAATACAACATTATGGAAGTACGTTTAAGTGGGAACATTTGTCTCCCCATTCCAGGCACTAGCTAAAAAACTTTTGACTACTGTTACACCCATGACCAATGATTCAAATGGAGGATCTATGATCAATTCATGGAAGACAGTGATTGAATGTACCTTTGGTATATTCAAAGAATCAACAGAGTTTGAAGCCGGAAAGCTAAGTCTTCATGTTATTCCACGGCAAGACGTTGATGCTAAGCAGCCTACAGGAAAGATTTCTCTGATCAGGGAGATTCTAGTGGAAGTCATTCACAATCCAGTTCATTACAGGAAAAGTCAGACGAGTAACCACATCTAAATAAAATGCAAGCAGAACTTACAGAAATCAAGATCTCTTCCTTCAAAATTGGGCCCTGGGAGTTTCACCAACAGCCACCTTATATTAGGAGCTTGCCAGCTGCCATTGACACGTTTTATGTGCGAGTTATATCGGCCATCAATACGCTCTCTGGGATTGACCCTCTGATGATCTTTTGTGGTGTAATTGGCACTTCACACCAGTATATCACCACAGTGTGGCTAATTTAAGCAACTCATTTTAACTTCAACCATCGCAAGTCGCCATGTCCTGTTGAAAAAACGGTTATCATAAATATCACCCTAAACTAGTTAGACAATAATTAGAAGTACGATTTTAAGGTGTCCATCAAGACCCGAACCCAACATCTCGAGGCTACGACGTTGCCTTCGAACCACCGGGCTAGAAGCGTTTGATTATCCCCTTGGATAATAGAGATATAATGCTTGTTAATATCACTAATCTTGAAAAGTCTATTAAAGCTTTAGACACAACATACCCTGGATTTAAAATTTACTATAACCAACTTCTAGCATCAGATGACGATAGCTCCGACCACGTATGAACCGTTGCCACAAAAATTGGAACGAAGACCTGTAATCCATTTGCATCTTCTCCTTCACAAGCCTGCAAAGTCGCATTGTAAGTTGCACGTAACCATTTTAGCAAAAACTTATCCAACTGAAGAAATCCCAAGGGAATAAACAGCCTTCCCAACTTACCATCTCGCTAGACACCGTTGAATTCCTCTAGATATGGGTCGAATGAAGGATGGATCACGTTGAGCGTATAGTAAACCAACCTCGATCAATGCACCTGTGCATGGATCATCCAGAATCTCCAAGCTACAGTCAGCTAGATAATTAATCTGCAAGCAGTAAACTGGAATAAAGTTTCTAGAAAAGGGACACTTGTACCTAGATATAAAACTGGTAGATGGTGGCAGTTCACGATGTTGAACACCAACCAACTAAGCAAGATTTGTGTACTTCATTTGTATTAGTTATTAATAAGTAAAAATCACCAATGAGACTAGTCCACCAGACATAAGAAAATAAACCCTGCTATAAAGAAGAATGTGAAAATTAGCTCAGAATGCGAGAAAAGCATTATACCCCAAATTCAGTGTTCGCTAGAGTCTGAATAAAATCCATGAGTTGGAGCTTGGCCCACTTG